TTTCAGCCCTCTGCGCCTTAACACACACAGGGTCATTTGTGTCACGAGTTTTGCCTGTCAGCAGCTTGGGGTGCAGTTCCCCCCCCAACCCCTGCACCGATCTTCCTGAAACTTAGCAGGCTTTGTGGCCTCACCAGGGGACACCATTCCTGCAGTTTTCAACCCCCTGTTTTGTAACACGCACTGTGACATGAGTTGACTTTCATGAATTTGGGGTACAGTTCCCCCCAAACCCCTGCACTGATCTTGAAACTTGGCAGACTTTATGCTCTTAGCTGAGGCTACTGCTCCTGCAAGTTTTGTCCAAATCATACCAAAACCAACAAAGTTATAGATCTTTCATTGATTCCCCATTATACCCTATGGCCAGATCTCTGAGGCGGGTCTGAGGCTTCGGATCTGCTTCAGTTGGATCGAGGTGGAAACCCAGTCCGGAGCTCTGGATTGGATTGCGGCCATCTGAAGCGGACGGACCCGAAGCCAGATTGGATCGCTGCTGACTTGCATAACCCTAATGACTGCTAATATCTGCCAGTTTGTTCAAAGTTACAAAAGCAAAAGAAGGGAAATGTTCTTGCTCTGTGGGACCAATTCTTGCCAATATGCACAAAAGACTAGAGCAAGCGGGATTGTTTAAAATGTATAATATGTGATTGATCTTCTACCAGGGGACCATATCCTATACAAACAAGTACACACGGAGTGATTTAATAGGTCATATCCAAATCTGATGGCCTCTGATGACTGATAACTGTGGTTGTTCCTATTTAGAGGAAAACAAGTTGAAAACATGGGGAAAAGTGGTTCTTTTAATTTTTTTTAATGGCAGGCAGCTTTAAAGTGTTCTCTAAGTCACAGTGTAGCAAACCCCAGTTTTTCTTTTTTTTTTTTCTTTTAAAATGCACTCCCTCCCCTTCCCCAAAAATTTCTGACTTTTTCTCTCCCTTTCTATTCCCTATAGATAAGTATAAGTGAGCTGAGACATAGGATAAGCTTCAGCGTTTTATTTTGGTAGCAAGTTGTATTTGTTTTGTTTTCTCTCCTCCTTTACATTGTGTAATTATTATGCTTATATTGATTTTTACTGTTCTATATTACTGTCTTAATGATACTATATGATTTAGGCCTACACATGCAAGTTAGCATAAGTCATGTCAAATTTCCATGTTGTTTGTCAAGTCTCCATCCTGTCCCCAGGCCCGTTTGTGTAACCCATGACTCACACCTACCCCTCCTATGTAACTTGGCTCCTGAATGAACGAGGGTGCTTGAGAGAGAATGGCAGTAGGTCTAAAAATAGCTCCCTCTAACATTGTGCCAAGGCTGCACATGCTTAGTAAGAACACCTGGAGCCCTCTGGAACAGGACTGACCTTGCCTGGACAGGTCCTCCCCATAGGAGATCAGAGGTAGTCTGCCCCATAAAAAGGGGTAGTGAAGACTGACTCCTTGGGACACCCTCTCCATCTGAACCAGCACCACGGCACACCACCTATCCACCCAGAGGCCCTGCCGGTGACCCCCCTCTGGACAACACCTGCTAGACAAAGACCCCTTTCCAGCCTGGATAGGTAGCTATCACCCCCCACCCCCTCTTCAACCAAGGACTTGGACTCTGCTTCTCTTCCCTACCTGGACTCCAACCCTTCCACTGAGTCTCTTTCTCTTGCTGCCATTGTGAGTGCTTGTGTGTGTGAATCAATAACTTCATAGGGCTGTGTAGTGTGTTGTCTGTTTCATAAACCTGTTATTTGGACCCCTGAGTTGGGTTTTGCTTTACTATGGTTCGGCCCTGCTCCAATCTCTGCTCCTCGCCTCTCTAACTTCTGTCTCATTTCTCCCTCTCCTGCTTCTGGCTCACTGCCACCTCCAACACCTGTCCCGAGCTACTCTCTGCCTCCAAACCCCCTGTTTCTTTGCCACCGTCTTATCCCCACTGCCTTTTCCCCTGAGCTCCCAGTTTTCTGCCTTAGTTTCTTTCCTGGCTGTCTCCTCCTTGCCACCACTTATCTGCTCCTCTCCCCAATATCTCAGCTGTCTGCCTCAGTTTCCAGCCCCAAGCTCCCAGGTTTCTGCCTCTCCTTCCTGGCTGTCTCCTCCTTGCCACCAGGCTTTTTTTCCCCTTGCACCAGTGACCTCTCAATAACCCTGGGGCCACTTGATCTTAAGTAAACCCAAGCCTCAGTTTCTCTCTAGTCCACCAGTCCTAACCCTGGTTCTGGCAACTTTCACTCCCTACACTTTAACTCTCTCTCTCTCACCTTAACCTTCCCCCAAATATCTCAGGTACCCCAAGTACACACACACATATTGTACCATCCAAGTTAGTAACTTACCTGTGTGTATGTGTATGTGGGTGGACTGGTGTGTGTGTGTATGTATATGTGTATGTCACTGTGTGCATGATATATGAATTAGTGTATATGTATGTGTATTGAGTGTGAGGGTATGGACAATTGATATTTGTCTAACTTTTGGGGTGTATAGTGTATGTGCTTGAATTGGTAATAGGTATGCATGTGCCTAAGCTGGTTTGGATGGGTGTGTGTGTATACACCGAATTGATTTGTGTGTTTCGTATATGTGCAATTGTGTCACACCCTCCTATCTAACAGCACAATATTGAGATCCTGAGAGTTGGCCTGACCCCACAGGGCAACAACAGCAATGAGTTGGTCATACTCCATGCTGTAGTCTCAGAGCCTTGTATCCATTCACTTACAAGCAAACACCAATACAGGCTTATATGCTGAATGGAGCTGACGGGAAGTACCCCTCTTAGTAGGAAGAAGTGCTCTTCAACCAGTGGTTCTCAATATTTTTAAACTCAAGGCATCCTTCATTAGACTCAAGGCACCCCTTGGAAAATGCCAGCTCTTAGTTTTCACTCATTTTTTACTACAGAAAAATAATAGAGCAATTCTTCTGTAGCTAAGACCTTGGAAAGACTACAACAGGTCAGGATGTTTTTGAGACTCTGAATTCCTATTTGAAATCTTTGGGTTTATCTTGTGAATCACATGTAGGTGTTTGCACACCTAACAGTGCTAATATTTCATAGCACCCCATGGCACCCTTAAAAGAATCACCCTGATTGGGAATCACCTACTTACCCCCTCCCCACCCCCATGTTTATCTCTACACAAGACACTTACTGCACATTAGTCTAATAACACTGCACAGTAGTGTGGCAGTTAAAAACCATGGCTAAAGCATACTGTACACTGTGATTAGGCTAAGGCGCATTAAGCATCACAAAATAACCATGTGCTGGCACTACTGTGCAGTAACTCTAATTACTGCGCATTTAGTTAGTACTTACTGCACGTTTAGTTTAGTATTTGATTATCTAAAGCGCATTAATGAACATGTATACGTGCCCAGGCAGAAGAGAAAATGAAGCAATAACAACATGAAGATTTTACAGGAGTGACTGCCTTGGCCTTTACTAGGAGGATCCAGCTATCAGATAGGAAAAGGATAAAACACATGACAGCAGGTGTTGGAATGAACTGATCTGAAGTGGGAGGAACGCATTAGTGTTTAAGTATGTCATGGACCTTCTTACTAAGAGTCCAGCAGGGGACATACCATATGGAGGAGCAAGTCAGAAGGGCTGAATCTTTGGGATGCTTTTAGGGGGAGAAGAGCATCTTTCAGTTGCCCACTGGGGAAAAACACATACACGCACTAGAAAAACTTGACAACCTCTGTATTATCAGCAGGGATCCTAGTTTTCTCTGATTTAAAAAAATCCCCAATTTTCGGTTAAGAAAAAGTATCCCCAAATCCACATTTTTCTGTGATTTAAATGAAATGACACTCTCTATATATCTATATACTAGTGGTGTTTCATTTAAATAATGGAAAAAAGTGGATTTCGGGTTATTTTTTTAACCGAAAATTGGGGATTTTTTTAAATCGGTGAAAACCGGGATCCCTGGTTATTAGGTGTAACAGGGGACCCAAACCCTGTTACTTGAGTATAATATAAGGAGAGAAGAGATGACTGTAACAGGGAGCCAAGGGGCTCCTGCCACTTTAAGAGGATGCAGGAGGCTAAGCTGGCTGCATGGAGCTTTAGCTGCTGGAGTGCAGGCTGGCCCTTAAAGAAGAGAAGAGAAGCGTGGAGCTGATGGAAAGCAGGTGACAGAAAGGGGAGCTTGGCTTCAAGGCCTGAGCTAGAGAAAACAGTCTAGCCCTGCATGCTTCAGGGGAGAGGAGCTCCTGGGTGAGATGGCTGCAGGAGGCAGAATGGCAGGCACCTGAGCTGCTCCCTGGAGCTGCTAAGAGAGAGCTAAGGGGACTTGATGGCCTGTAGTGAAGCAACAACCCAGTTGGGTAGGTTTTCAGTTGTGAAGCAGTGGCTTGTATTTATGTTGCGATTTAAGCTGTATGCTGGAGAACCAGATGTGGCTGATAGGGGTGGACAGGAGGTCACAGGAGTGCTGCAGGGGCACCCAGAGTAGAGCCTTGCCCTCGGTCAGGGATGCAAGGGGGGCCCGAGCTGATCAAAAAGCATCCATGCTGTAGATCAGAGATGCTGGGGGGTCGGGAGGCTGAGCAGAAGTAAGAGTAGCCTTGCCCTGGCTACTCTTGCTTCAGCTCAGCCTCCTGGTACAAGATGCAAGATTGCACTCAGACTGCATTAGAACCCACAGTCCCACAATGAATTTTAGGGCTGTCTCAAAGATTTGGGATCATTTAGCTGTGGGGGCACAGTTTGGGCCTGCTGAACAGGTGCAAGCTAGTCCCCAAGGCTTCTAATTCAATTGCCTTTCCCTCAAACATGTACCCTTTCAGGCTAATGCCACGGCTTTTCTTCGTTCCCCACACATTGATATTGGCTTATCTTGCTGCAGTGGATCAGGCTTATTTGAAATTTTAGGATTAAGTTGAGGATGGGTGGGTCTGAATAAAATCCTTGCATCTGAATGTTCTTGAAGCCAGAGAAATGTGAATATGAATCCCCACTCACCTCCTCCTATGTTTCTCTTCCAGCTGAGCCCTCCTGCCCCCATCTGCTTGGAGAGAAGACACATTCTTATTCCCCACCTTTTCTCCATACATAAATGCATAACACAACTGGCCTTGATCTATTCCCATGTGAATTTAGCTTATGTGGGCAACTGTGTCCTGAGGCACATAGAGCCAACTGTGTGACTGCGTGGGATGAAAAGCCATCTTGTTGTATCTGCTGTTTTCTTTCCGAGAAAAAATGTTCTCTTCAAAGGGAGCTGCACATTTCACAGTCATGCATGGGTTCAGTGTGTCTTACCAGTCACAGCAGCACACACATTGGCAGCCAGTGTATTCAGAAACCCCTTAGGAGATCTTGATGGGGACAGTCAGTTGAAGGAAGTTCCTCTTTCCCATGGGAATGGATGTACAATGCAAGCAGCACCACCACAGAACAGCTAAGCCGTCTTCTTCAAACTAGGAAACAGCTAGAGCATTGTCATCCTGACAGTCCCAGAGGTGCTGGCAACATCTACCCAGAGATACCCACAGCAACACAGGGAAGACCTAGCAAAACCCAGTTAGAAGAAGAGCTGTTCAGCCAACAACCTTGTGTAGATACCATATCAAATGCAATGGTTGACTGAGGACTTTGGTCTTGGTTAACTCTTCCAACAATATAGGAAGTGGACAGATGGTTTTGGCATAGACCTCCCTCTTCTTCTTTCTAGAAGCAGTTAAATGTAACAGTGGCCACTAAATTCAGTGGGTGCTGACCTCCAACTTCTGCCGTGTGACAAACTATAAGAGCCCTTTGCAATCCTGAGCTGGTGTCGTGGGGCTAAAGTACAGTAATGCAGTTAACACTCTTCTCTATTAAGCTTCCTGTGTGTCTCACTTTTATGACCTGGCACATGGAGAAAATCACATTTGAGCAAGCTGGCACCTTCTTAGCTTTTCACTCTGGAAGGAAAGCTGGAAGAAAACTGGCAAGGGGCTGCAGCACTTCCAGGTTCCCCTGGAAGCAACTGGCACTACAAAGAAAGGATGAAATTCTCCATATTGCTCTATGTAGCAAGCCCTGGATCACTGGAGAGCCGCAGTACATTCTATTTCCCATAAAACCTGCAAATTACGACTGTCTGGCAGGGCTCAGACAGACAGTTATGTGTCACTTCCTGTTACCCTGTCCAGCCTCCCTGTTCATTTATTCACCAGGTACACACCATATGTATGTTGGAGTGAGAGCTCCGAGGCATGGACCCTCTGTGTGTTACTTATCTGGATACTGATAAACTAAAACCTGACTGGTGTTCTTAGGCACAATTAAAACAATGAAGAAATTAATTAAAAACAGTATTTGGGCCTGTCAACATTTGGCTACTAGAGTCTGGGCCTGCTTCACTCTGCAGTAGACTTATAAAATGCTGACACAAGCCAGGGCTACAGCTTAGTAGCTTTTTACTTGTTCACAACATGATTTGGCCCTGTCCAAAAAGCCTGAAACAAGTCACCTTATAAAATGGAGGGTTCCCAAGAAGAGCAACTGTTTTAAAACCATTATTCTTATAGTAGACACAGCCAGTGAAGATGAAAGCTGCAGATACCATGGATTTCCTGTTTTTCTCTAGGGCTAGGGACATAAGTTAAACTAGTTTTTGTGTAAGCGATCAGAAACTGGTTTAAACCTGTAGCAGAACAGAAGTTCAGTGCACATAAACCAGTTTCATAGATATTTTGGGTTGGAAGGGACCTCAGCAGATCATCAAGTCTGACCCCCTGCCCTGGGTAGGAAAGAGGGCTGGTGTCAGATGACCCCACCCAGGTGTTTGTCCAGTCTTCTCTTAAAGACCTCCAAGGCAGGGGAGAGCACTACCTCCCTTGGAAACCCATTCCAGAATTCTGGTAACCCTAACCATGAAGAAGTTCTTCTTGATGTCTAATCTAAATTTGCGCTCTCTCAATTTGTGGCTGTTGTTTCTAGTTACTCCAAGGGGCGCCCTGGTAAACAGAGTATTTCCTATCCCTTGCTGCCTTCCCCAATGAATTTATAGACAGCCACTGGATCCACCTCTCAGCCTTCTCTTATGGAGGCTGAAAAGATCCAGGTTCCTCAGTCTCTCCTCATAGGACCTTACCTGAAGGCCCTTAACCATACGAGTAGCCCTCCTCTGGACCCTCTCAAGGTTATCCACATCCCTCTTGAAGTGTGGCACCCAAAACTGGCTGCAGTATTCCAGCTACAGCCTCACCAATGCTGCATAGATGGGAAGTATCACCTCCTTAGACCTACTTGTGATGCACCTGTTAATGCATGATAGAGTGTGGTTAGCTCTATTGATCACTTTGTCACATTGACGACTCATGTTCATCTTTGAGTCAACTACTACTCCAAGATCCCTTTCCTCTGCTGTTCTGCTTAGAAGGTCATCTCCCAATCTGTAAGTGTGTTGGTGATTCCTTCTCCCTAGGGGCAGCACTTTGCACTTATCTTTGTTAAACTGCATCCTATTTTGTTCTGCCCACTTCAAATGGCTGCAATTGGTTTAAGATGAACCTGACTGAATGTAGTATCAGACTTAACTGATTTGGGTCCCCTGGCAGAAGATAGACGCAGTGAACACCTTCCTTATCCCCTGCATTGCGTTCGTCCTGAGAGTTTCAGCAGTCCCCAAGAGCCCCTTCAAGAAGGCAGACGCTGAGATCGGGTGGCTGCTGGAGAAGTGGCTGCACCTGTCCCTAAGGGCCAGCAATGAGATCCTGCACATCCCCTACTGGCAGGGAGGTGCCAACATCCCCCACATGAGAGACCTCTGCAACATCGTGGTGGTCACCCACACCTTCCTCCTGCTGACCTGCCCGGACTCAGCGGCTCACTGGAGGGTGACTTCAGCAGAGACAGTGGAGATTTTGCCTTGCTGTGGAGTTGAGCCTGCAACACCATGCGCCGCCTCGGAAAGCACATTGGCTGTGCCTGGACCTGGACTGAGGAGCGCTGGGAGCTGGGAGTTTCCCTGCAACCAGCCCCGCACACTGACCACGTCACCATGACGCCCTGCAATAGGACCTTCCTGTGGAGGTTCCTGAAGGACACCGTCTGAAACATGTACGCCGGCGACCTGAGGGCCAAACCCTACCAGAGCAAGGTCTTTAACGTCACCTCAAAGTGGGACTCCAGCAACCGAGGGTAGTAATCGATGGAAGTCACTCATCGTGGTGTCCTGTGACCAGTGGGGTCCCCCAAGGCTCTGTCCTTGGACCCATACTGTTCAACATCTTCATTAATGATGTGGACACTGGAGTCAGAAGCGGACTGGCCAAGTTCGCCGATGACACCAAACTTTGGGGCAAAGCATCCACACCAGAAGACAGGCAGGTTATCCAGGCTGACCTGGACAGGCTCAGCAAGTGGGCGGACGAGAAGCTGATGATGTTCAACGCCGATAAATGCAAGGTTCTCCACCTTGGGGAAAAAAAACCCGCAGCATCCTTATAGGCTCGGCAGTGCTATGTTGGCTAGCACTATGCAAGAAAGAGACTTGGGGGTCATCATTGACCACAAGATGAACAGGAGCCTGCAATGC